ATGTCCCTTCCCCCTGCTCCGGTGATACCCCCTGGTGACGTCCCCCCTGGTGATGTCCTCTCCCCTGCTCAGGGCCCCCTGGTGACGTCCCCCTCCCTGGTGATGTCCCTCTCCCCTGCTCCGGTAGGATACCCCCAGCATGTCCCTCTCCCTGGTGATGTCCCTTCCCCCCCTCTGCTCCGGTGATACCCCTGGTGACGTCCCTCCCTGGTGATGTCCCTTCCCCCTGCTCCGGTGATACCCCCCTGGTGACGTCCCTCCCCTGGTGATGTCCCTTCCCCTGCTCCGGTGATACCCTGGTGACGTCCCACTCCCCTGGTGATGTCCCCTCTCCCCCTGCTCCGGTGATACCCCCCTGGTGACGTCCCTCCCCTGGTGATGTCCCTTCTCCCCTGCTCCGGTGATACCCCCTGGTGACGTCCCTCCCTGGTGATGTCCCTTCCCCCCCTGCTCGAGGATACCCTGGTGACGTCCCTCCCCTGGTGATGTCCCTTCCCCCTGCTCCGGTGATACCCCCTGGTGACGTCCCTCCCCCTGGTGATGTCCTCTCCCCCCCCCGCTGGTGATACCCCCGGTGACGTCCCTCCCGGTGATGTCCCTTCCCCCCTGCCCGGTGATACCCCCTGGTGACGTCCCCCCCTGGTGATGTCCCTCTCCCCTGCTCCGGTGATACCCCCTGGTGACGTCCCTCCCTGGTGAGTCCCTTCTCCCCTGCTCCGGTGATACCCCCTGGGCGTCCTCCCGGTGTGTCCCTCCCCCTGCCCGGTGATACCCCCTGGTGACGTCCTCCCTGGTGATGTCCTCTCCCCCTGCTCCAGGTGATACCCCCTGGTGACGTCCCTCCCCCTGGTGATGTCCCTCCCCCCTGCTCCGGTGATACCCCCCAGACGTCCCTCCCCTGGTGATGTCCTTCTCCCCTGCTCCGGTGATACCCCCTGGTGACGTCCCTCCCCTGGTGATGTCCCTTCCCCTGCCCGGTGATACCCCCCTGGTGACGTCCCTCCCCCTGGTGATGTCCCTTCTCCCCTGCCCGGTGATACCCCTGGTGACGTCCCCCCTGGTGATGTCCCTTCCCCCCGCTCCGGTGATACCCCTGGTGACGTCCCCCCTTGGTGATGTCCCTCCCTGCTCCGGTGATACCCTGGCGACGTCCCCCCCCTGGTGATGTCCCTTCTCCCCCTGCTCCGGTGATACCCCCTGGTGACGTCCTCCTTGGTGATGTCCCTTCTCCCTGCCCGGTGATACCCCCTGGTGACGTCCCTCTGGTGATGTCCCTTCTCCCCTGCTCCGGTAATACCCCCCTAGGTGACGTCAAAGATAAACAAAGAAATTAAAAATATATAATAAAAAATCATCGGAGAAAAATGTAGAAAATTTATAAGATATTAAAATAAAACAAACAAACAAACAAACAAATAAACAAACAAATACACAAACAAATAAACAAACAAACAAACAGGTAAGTAATAAATTAACCTAAAGTAAACACAAGCCGAGATGATTTACTCACCATCTTAATTTGTTCAAGAAATTACAAAAATAATAATTAAAAACACGATGACTCCTCCTCTACACACACACACACACACACACACACACACACACACACACACACACACACACACATTTTATCTTTTCAATTCTGTATAAATATAGAATGATTCATGAACAAAAACAACAAATAAATCCAGAAATTAAAAGGAAAAAACAATCACACTTACAAGACAAACAAACAAACAAACAAACAAACAAAAGAATTAAACCGCAAACAAAAAATTCCAATAATAATAAAAAATACTCCCCAAAAAAAAATAATAATAATATAATGAGGCAATATATTTTTGGTCTGTCATTACTGGAATGATTAACAGGTCCCTAATCAGTCCCTAATCAGCCCCCAATCAGCCCCCAATCTGACCCAATCTAACCCAGGGAGACGCCCAGCCAGGATGATTTGTCAACAAGATGGCGTGGTCCAGCTAACAAACTGGCCCGTCTGTTGCTAATAATGGCCAAGATAATGACCGCTAACTACTTAACATTCCACGAAATACTGAAGAAAAAAACAGTATTTATTTGTTGGGTTTGTAACTTGAAGGTTGTGTCGAGTTTTAGTGGTTTAACAGCCTGGGGGGTTAGTACACACGATCCTTCATTAAACCACTTATGGAAGTTGATTTATAATAATTGTTTTAATGACCCAGTATGGAACAAAACAACAACAAAAAACAACAACAACAATAATAATAATAATAATAATAATAATAATAATAATAAAATAATAAAAAATAATAAAAATAATAATAATAATAATAATAATAATAATAATAATAATAATAATAATAATAATAATAATAATAATAATAATAATAATAATAACTAAAATAATCAGTCATATTTTGTAAAAAGTTTATTACTATATATATACCCACACACACACACGCACACACACACAACACACACACACACACACACACACACACACACACACACACACACACACACACACACACACATAAAGAAACAAACAAACAGAGAGAGACAGTTACACTCCACAACGAAGAAACAAACAAACAAAATAAATAAAAATATCAGACTTAAACAGATCATAAACAAACACATTAACAAATAAAACAAATAAAACCAAAGGTCCTTATGTCCTGGTTATGTTATTGTTTATTGTAATTAATTAAAACATGAGTCTTTCTTTCGGTGTGTGTGTGTGTTTTAAGTCTATTCTAGCCACAGAATATCAGCCATGCGTGTAGACACACACACACACACACACACACACACACACACACACACACACACACCAACTCTCTCCGTAATACAGAAAATAAATTCAACAAAAAGTCAAAATACAACTAAATAAAAAAATAGTCCCAATTAAACAGATCCTCCCCCAATTACTTAGAACCTTTCCCAATACATATAGCCTTTCCCAATTACATATAACCTTTCCCAATTCATATATAGCCTTTCCCCAATTACATAGAGCCTTTCCCCACTACATATAGCTCTTCCCAATTACATATAGCCTTTCCCAATTACATATAGCCTTTCCCAATTACATAGAGCCTTTCCCAATTACATATAGCCTTTCCCAATTACATAGAACCTTTCCCCAATTAATATAGAACCTTTCCTAATTACATATAGCCTTTTCCCAATTATATGTAGCTCCTAATTACGGTGTCGCTATGTTCAATTTTGAAACAATTAAAATCCAAATAAAAAATATTCAGAAAATAGATAATTAAAAGAAAATAGTTTTTCCCTTATAAAATCAAAGGCATGAAGCCCACTACACATCTGGTCGCGAGGAACACATACACAAACACACACACACACACACACACACACACACACACACACACACACACACATCTTGACCCAGCGAACTGTCACCAATTAAAAACAGGTCCACTTTCTGTCATCTCCTTTCCCCACTCACCCCACACCCCACACCCACCACCCCCCACCCACCCCCCCACCCCCCACGGAAGACTCCCAATTACAGCGGGTTTATGGATAGCGAATGATGAAATACGACCTTGTAAAGTAATTATTTTTTATATAACCAAAATACCTTTTGGGCCTTAAACTCTCTGGAGACAGCCGGCCGCTACCACCACTACTACCACCATTGCTACCACCATTACTACCACCATCACCCACTACCACCATGACTACCACCATCACTGCCACCATCACCATCACCACCACACCATAAGCATTACCGGTGGTTTTGTTTCAGAGAGAGAGAGAGAGAGAGAGAGAGAGAGAGAGGAGAGAGAGAGAGAGAGAGAGAGAGAGAGAGAGATTACCGCAGAGATTGAGTCATGACACTTCCACGCCATGGTACACCTCATGACATGTAAACACGTGAACAGCTGACTATGTAAACAAGGAACAGCTGATTTCAGGTAAACAAAAAAGCTGACGTCAGTGTAAACAAAAAAACTGACGTCATGTAAACACGCGAGGAATCATGGAAATTCTTCAAGATCACGGAGAAGTAGGAGGTACACCTGTGTATACCACCGGGTCAGGTGAACCCGACACAGGTAGACCCCATACCTGTGTAAACCATCTTAAGTACATTATGTAATTTACTCAATATACTGTACCTGTATCTATACCTGTATCCTATGTAATTTACTCAATATACCTGTATTCACACCTGTATCCTATGTATTTACTCCAATATACCTGTATCTATACCTGTATCCTATGTAATTTACTTAATATACCTGTATCTATACCTGTATCCTATGTAATTTACTCAATATACCTGTATTCATACCTGTATCCTATGTAATTTACTCAATATACCTGTATCTATACCTGTATCCATGTAATTTTACTCAATATACCATCTATACCTGTATGCTATGTAATTTACTCAATATACCTGTATCTATACCTGTATCCTATGTAATTTACTCAATATACCTGTATCTATACCTGTATCCCAAGTAATTTACTCAACATACCTGTATCTATACCTGTATCCCTATGTAATTTACTAATATACCTCGTATCTATACCTGTATCCTATGTAATTTACTCCAATATACCTGTATCTATACCTGTATCCTAAGTAATTTACTCAATATACCTGCATTCATACCTGCATCCTATGTACTTACTAACATACCTGTATCTATACCTAGCATCTTGCAATTTACTCCAATATACCTGTATCTATACCTGTATCCTATGTAATTTGCTCAATATTCCTGTATCTATACCTGTATCTTATATAATTTACCTCAATATACCTGTATCTACCTGTATCCTATGTAATTTACTCAATATTCTGTATCTTATGTAATTTAATTAATATACCTGTATCTATACTTGCATCCTATGTAATTTACTCAATATACCTGTATCTATACCTGTATCCTATGTAATTTAATTTAATATACCTGTATCTATACCTGTATCCTATGTAATTTACTCCTCAATATACCTGTATCTATACCTGTATGCTATGTAATTCTACTCAATATACCTGTATCTATACCTGCATCCTATGTAATTTATTCAATATATTCTACTATACCTGTAACCTATGTAATTTACTCAATATACCTGTATCTATACCTGTATCC